ATGGAATGATTCGTACCTTAAGATGTCGTATCGATCTATAAATCCACGTTGGTGATAGACACGTATAGCTATATATAAGTCTAGTATATTGAGATTAGTATCAACGTTCGGAACCCAAAGTTACCAGTTAACTTGCTATTGGTGCTTTCTCCGATGCATTTTAGTGGTTCTTCAGAGTACACAAGATGTTGGCGCGGAAAGCGGGTACGGGAAGCCCACAATGAGGCTCGGAAATCGATTGGTTGAATACTTTTTGGTTGACTCCCAATCCCACTTGATGCCTACATTGGCGCCCTTTCACCGGATCATTGTTCCGGAATCAAAGAACGAAGAACATCCTTCACAACAATGCGGGATGTCAATCTTCTGAGTAATTTAAAAGCAACGGAATTTATTCATCCCATCTTCATCCCACTTTTCTCGAATGATGAAGGTCCCTACTACTAGCTTAATTCTGATCTTCAACTTGTTTGGTATACTTTCGTGACATGGTCCATTTCGATAGCTATCTAACTTGTGGTTCTGCTCAGCCCTCACACACGCCCAAGTCTCACTTCAAAATGTAACAGCCATCTTTGATAACGGGCAACTTTGTCAAGAATGCGAAGCACAATTGAACATGATTGACTATGGTCTCAATGTAAGTCACCGTTACTTTCTACCTTAAATCCTTCTACCTTAAATCCAAATCTATTGCTTGCTGAAACGAGAATTGCAGTTGTGTGGCACATACAACCTGACCGACACGCAGTGCAAGTGCTCTAACGACATAGTTGCCGTCGTCGTTACTGCATTGGATTGTGCGGTCTCTGTGAATGGGGATCTGAAGGGAAGAGCACAGGGGGTCTTTGATCGTGCGTCTGTCATTTGTTTCTCCATTGTTGAGCATGTTATTAAAAAGGGAGATTCCCCATCCACAGAATACGCTGAAGACTGCGAGTCTGGTGGGATACCGATTGAGGTTGGATGGAAGATCGAAGGGGATAGAAATGACGCAGCACAAATGAAGACTCTCATGGCAATCGCCCTAGTAGTGACAATGGGTTTGGTGGCCATGTCAAGTTGACTTGATGTCGCATTCGAGTAGCTAAATGCGCAAGCTTTGCTATGTGAAGCACCGATAGCAAATGACTTGATATTCTAGCTTTTCCGATTGATTATCCCCTTGATTTTGTACCCTCGAAGGCAAAAGACTCGGCGGTATTTCGGTCAATGATTCAGTTCCTTTCGATGCGGGGCTCAAGTGTCATTGTCCACATATGCGTGAACACTTGATTTGGTGAACGGTGGAGTTGACACAATCTTCCACCGGTTGAAAGCCAAGCTCAGGTAACGGCAATACCTGTCACCATTCGCTGTGTTAGTGGTGATATCCGGGCCAGAATAGCATTGGGATTGGATTGAATCGGCTAAATGCGAAGTATGTATGCTGTTTTCTTGGCTTTGATTCATCTCAAATTACCAAGGATATTGTTGTTCATTCTTGTTGCTAGGCGCAGACTTTATCTGTTGAGAGAGCTATGCATTACTATCCGAACTGGCTAGTAGCGACAGTACACGCCTGTGGTGATTGAATGGTTTGTAATAACTTGAGCTGCGGTATCATTTGCATAACAAAGCTGGGGCTCTGTCCCTACTGTCTGGACGCAGTCTTGCGAGATTAGTATCGACATTCAGAATTGAAGGGTAAAGGTAGGATTTTGGCCGTACGTCAGCTATATTTGGTTCTAGAGTGTTATTGAGAAGAGAGGTCACAATTACAGAATACATTGATGACTGTGGGTCTGGCGGAATATCGATTGGCGACGAATCATTGAAGGGGATAGAAATGACACAGTGCGAGTGAAGAGTACAATGACAATCATTCTAGCAGTGGCGATCAGCTTAATGTCGACCACTATGCCTGTTTGATATCATCCAATAATTCGAGTGGTGTGCTGTCCGAGCTTTGTTATGTGAAGCGCCTACAGAAAAATATGTCCGGATATTCACAGCTTTCTGGACGAAATTCAACACATGTCTATCCGTATGATGCTCTACAGATCAACACCCATGTTTCTTTCACATAAGCGCAGATACACATCAAAGAACTGCCACAAAAACAACCATCATCATCCCCAAACCACTCAATTCCCCAAGTCCCAGGCGCAGACCTGCTGCGCTATTCCCATCGCCCCCAATGGTCTGCTGCTTTAGCTCCTTTCCATTAGACTGACAATTCCGAGACAGTTCTATGATACTTGTCGAGTGTGAGTGTTACGAGAGCAACAACGGATACATACGATCGAATGACTCTTGCGCCTGTTGCTTCAAGCTACTATCCCCAGAGACAGCACAGTTCAATGCGGCACCATAAGTGTCACTAGTATTGTCAGAGCAATAACAGTCCACAATATCCTGTGACTGGGTTTTATCGTTGCAGCCCTACGATGAGAACGAAGATCAGCTGTTGCAACGTAACGATAATGAAAGTATGGACCTGAAAGGCATCGAGTGCGGCGCGTCTCTCGGACTGGCATTTCGTTTGGTCTGGCTGAAGATTAGAGCCGGGTAGCGTAAAGTTTTGGGCAGAGGCGTGGGCTAAGGAGGTTGAGTTTCGGTAGGTAGAGCAATGCTTATATGAACGTACAGAGAAAAGCGAAAATAACGAGTGAGGTGCTGAGAAACTTCATCATCGAGATGAGAGAGGGGGGGAAAAGGGTTGTATGAGTAGATGAGGATGCCAAAATTGCGAAAACATCTATGGTTTAATACTTTTTGCTTGGAGTGTGAGAATTCAAGAGCTCCAGCGCATCTTTGGGATTGATTATCATACGAGTATATGTTTCATTATAGCGCTACGCAGTTACCCGTCATGCTGTATGCACTGCTAATAAAAATGTCAACGCGGGACGGAATCACACTGCAAGGTTCTTTGCATTCAAGGGTGTGAATGTTCTGATGAAACTCGTACTTCCAGGACTCAGGGCATCAATCGTTATCAGCGGGACACAATCTCATCTTTGATTTGATGTGATTTAACAAGAGTGAGAAGTCGAGTACTCGAAACTCTACATGGAAGAGATTTCTATTAAATCTGGCTATGAAGTCTGAGGTTGGGACTTCAAATGGCAATTAATAGGTATTGGGGCACGTTGCGTACCAGGCAAGCCAAACGCAATGGAAGGGGATGCGCTAAACTTCATCAACAAGATGTGATGAGATGAAAGCAGGACCAAAGTCCTACAAGAATAGATTATTTGCGTGGGAGGACCACTGGAATAGGGCGATTCCCGCTCCAACTTTGGGCCTTGCAATGCACCGAGACTTATTGCTGGTGCGACGGGACTGAATGATGCTAAATCCCATAGAACCAGCGCCGAACCGGCACATTGAAAGAGATTCTCCCTAGGTGACAGGTTCCAAAGACATAAAATCTTCTGTGTCTGAACGTGTGGGATGATTCTTGGTTCGATGACGTGGTTAATACTTGGCAATAGAAGCATTTCAGATGACCCTGTTGCGCAACGATCAGTAGATCACCTCAGCGCTGGATCGAAGTAGCTCACTGTTCTTCAGACTCGGGCATATACGATATCCCGATTGTTTGTTGATATCATTGTCAATTAAGCAACTCGGACTTTTACTTCAGTCTTCTGTTCTACTGATATTGAATGCCCGTTTTCCCCTCGCTGTTCAATACATCTCCTACTATGGGAGTTAAATATCGGAGGATTGTTATAGGAACCATCAGGAAGTCGCGATCCTGGACTATATCTACTGCTCGTCATTGTACGGTATTTTATATTGAAAGGCCAAAGTCTGCAATTGCGAATCTTGCTGGGAGGATGTATGTCTTCATCGAGCTTTTTGCCCCTGACGGCTTGATACCATCTACCTTGAGACACATCTTGATGGCATGGCTTTCTCAATTGAGCCGTCATGATACGGGATTATTCGATGCAGAGTGTCATGTTGGGAAACGAGAAATATCAGACTGCCAAGTTACGGTCACGATAGGCGGGACATCCGAGTCTGTAACGATTTCGCGCTCCTTGGATTGTTGTAAGAACAGACCGCCCAAGTTCCGCGCGTTACAGCTCCCACACGCTGCGTCGATATCATATGGCAGCATTAATTTACATTGCCTCTGAGATAAACGGTATATAAAAGCATGGTCCGAGTGTTCCTGATCATGAAGTTGACCCGCCCAAGCCTCGTCGTTCTCAGCGTATTCGGGACGTTTCAAGTTCGAGTCACAATTTGACTTGACGATGGAAATGAAACTGAACTTGTATGGTAGCGTTCACCTTTGCCCGGGTTGATTTTGCCTTACCCATGTCAAATAGAAGCGCGGTTACGGGAAAATGCGCGTTTGAGATAATCGTACAGTCTTGATTAGTGGTAAAATGGCGGTGTTACGACAGACCAGGCTGAAGAAGCGTTCGATGGTGCATTGCTCTTGTATTTTGAAGCGATACTTGTTGAACAGACTATACTGAACAATATGATCAATCGAACGTACAACAGAACGAGGTTGATCAGCAAGCGATGAGAGTATCATAGTAGAGACAACATCAAGACGATTTTTCAAAAAGATGGGAAGGAATTTCGCTACTTTGTGACTTCAGCGGCTCTCGATACGGCATAGACCTACATACCATCGTCGTAGAAGTGAGAAACACAACCCGAATACCGACTCATTCGATGGATGGAGGCCAAGGGGATTTACAGGATAACCAGTTACACCGTTGGTGAAATGGTTATCATGTTTGCCTTCAATCCGCAGCAGTTCTCGATGATTGGGCGAGCGGCTCGGGTTCAATTCCCGAACGGTGTAATGTCATCCAACCTTGGTGGTAAATTGTTTTTCTCTGAACAATGCCGAATGAATGTGGTTGTCAGACGCGTTGGAAGGATCATATAATGAGAAAAACGCATGGGATAAAGGCTGTGGTTGTCAGGAATACTCATTGGACGCGTGCCAGGAATAATCAGACAATCCCCAAGTCTATGATACAACACCGTTGGTGAAATGGTTATCGTGCTCGCCTTTCCATCCCACAGCGATTTTAGATGATTGAGCAAGTGGCTCGGGTTCAATTCCCAAATGGTGTAATGCATAGTATCCAGTTTTTGTATCGTTGAATATATATATCCGTATTCATGAGTGTATATTGTAGGATGCAATTCCTCTTGGCCGATTCAGATCTCATACCGCCGAAACCGGAAGGTATACCCTGCCTTGAAATTCGGTACACTGAGGATGAAGTAGAAACAGTCACCACTTTGTCTTGGGTGTGAGGCGTCCTGTAGAGAAGCATTTCATTGGGATGCCGTTTACTTCCTTGAGAAGCACGACTCGATCAACGAGTCAGTTTCGATATCCATGTATTCTCCGAGTCTGCGATGAGGAACGAGGAGGTGAAAAAAGATAAATTGGCGAAACACGTACACTGTTGGTGAAGTGGTTATCATGCTTGCCTTCCATGTGATAGTTGGGTGATATGAGCAAGCGGCTCGGGTTCGATTCCCGAACGGTGTAATATGATAGAAAGGTACCTGATTTTTGGCTCAATGATTATTTGCGAGGGTATTCCTCGAACGCAGCTACCACCCAGTGTCATTTGTGCCTTTATTCCCGATATCTCTTGGGTTTGAACAGTAGAGCTAAGAGTAGGAAGTCACGTTGGGATGTTTACTGTAAAGTAGGTGTAGGCCGTTCGGGATCCGACTCGCGGGACAAAACGTTATCAGGAAACGCCGTATTTACGTAGGAGAGAATATGAGCTGGGCCGGAGAAGGAACTTTGATTTGGCCTTTGGCGGTTTTAGATACATGAACAGTGTAATACTTACCATCCTTTTAGAGGGCCGGACAGGGAGCTCAACCTGAATACTGAATCCGTGACCGAATAACGAAATATATAACAACGCACACCGTTGGTAGAATGGTTATCATGCTTGCCCATCATCTGTAGCAAGTGGTTCAGGTTCGGGTTCGATTCCCAAGCGGTGTATTCGGCATTTCCTCCGATTTTTTTTTCTATGTGCACCATTGCAAGTTGTATGTGGTTATTAGATGGACACACTGGCGGCAGTATGTTACTTACTGTCCTCAATTGGATATCGGGACTCAGCTTTCTAGAGATGTATGTATTAGAACCGCGCTATGTAAAGCACGACGCTGGACTGGGATTAGGAAGACACCCGTTGGTGAAGTGGTTATCATGCTTGCCTTCCATATTATGTGGGCGTGTTCAGCAAGCGGCTCGGGTTCGATTCCCGAACGGTGTAGTCTCGTGTAAGCCTGGTATCTTTTGGGTCTCGTTAAAGAAGTGTTTCCAAGAACGTTGTAAGAAACTGTTTCTCTAGACTCCCTTGGCCGAGTCAGATCTCAACGAGCACCGAAAACGGCATCAGAAGGCAAGTTCAAGCCTTGCAGGGAGCATGAATCGATCTCGAGTTTGGTTTTTGTTCAACTTCTTACTCTGTCAATGAGTAGCAAGGGTTGGGTTTAGGATCAATTTGGCTTGGGATAACCCATAGACTACTCACACGTTGAGAAGCATTCAGTCGCATGGATATCACAGTTGGGTATTCCACGAGCGTACTCGATATAGGTGTGTCCTATAAAGATAAAAAGGACAGTGGGCTTGTGACATGAGAGTACGGCAATGGTTTTAGGCGTGGATGAGGGCGATGATCATCTGAACTCGAGCAGAAAAAGCGTATTCTTCTCTGGGCTATCTGCTCCCTGCAAGGCTCGAACTTGCGACCTCAGGATTACATGGCGGTTAGCAATGTCATACGTGATAGTATGAGACCTGCGCTCTAGCCAACTGAGCCAAGGAAGCGTTAAGGGAGGGGTGTAGTGTGAGTCCATCGCCTGCCTCGCGTGACGTCATGTAACCCTTCGCCCTGGATCACGTCATCCGTCGTTTCTTTTTCTTCCTTTGACCACGACTACGACTTTCAGCCGCCACTGCCAATGACTGGTACGTTTCTCGTTTTGCTCATAACCGGTTGCGTCTTGATGAACTCTAGCTACCTTCAACCACAATGACTCGGTGCGTTCCTTATCTCTCGTTTGATTGGTTGGCTCATTGGTTCAACTAGGTGTATTCCTCTGCGTTCTACGTAAATACCTTCACCTGCCTAACGCCGCCTCCCCTCGTCATGGATTGGAGGTACGTCTTCTTCATCCTGCTTATGATCTGTTGCTTATCTTGACGATCCCCAGCTCCCTTCAATGATGGTCACTGGATGAAAGTACTCGGGAGCAGGTACGTCCCCATATCTCTCCCATGATTGGGTGTCTCATTGGTTGATCAGGCATATTCGTTCCTCCTCCGCTCCACCCAGCGACACGCCTCCCAACGTTCAACTGCCGCCATCCAAACCCAAACCCAAACCCCTCCACCTGCCTAACGGCCTACAACGCCGCCGCTCCTCGTCATGGTTCGACGAGTGATGAACATTTTCGAGAGCAGGTGCGTCTTCTTCATCTCTCCCATGAAGGGTCGGCTGACTTGTTCCACTAGACCTATTCGGCCCAACGTCTCTACGCTCACCTGCCGCCGTCCAAATCCCGCCTGCTCCAACCCTTTCACCCAGGCTTGTATCTCTCATTTGAGTGGATACCTTAGGCGTGTTCGTTTCAGTTCCATCCTCACCCCCGTCCATGTCGGATCCTCCACGTCACATCATCAGCACTCACACACTACCCTTGCCATTATCGACTCCGCCATCCTCACCCTCCTCTACACCCCCGCGTATCTTTTCTGGTCTGGTCAGGCTACGGGAGGAAGGGCTAGGGATGTAGAGAGTCGACGTTGAGGGTGCCCTCGTCCCCATTCCTTTCATCTCCTAGGAGCTATCGAAGACACCCCCTCGATTGCGCAAATTGACGGGTTCGACTATATGCCCGCGTTGGCTCGTTCTTGGGGACTCTGTGGCTGCAGATGAGCCAGGGAACGGGAGAAGGAGGGAGAAGGGGTGTGTTCAGGCGGGAGGGGGTACGACCTCTTTCATTTTTCGTCATATCGCGCTCAAAGTTCCTAACATAGGCTTCATGTCGTCGTTCACGCTCTACATCGCGACACTACTCTAGACGAAGAGGCGAAGAAACCCCACCTATCACATTTCTACCACAGATCTATACCTCTCGACTTGCATATCCTCGTTGTCCATTTCTTCTGGGTAGACGGTAGACGGTATCCAGGGAGTCGTTCGAGTGGTCCTATGGGGGAACCTATCGTGGGCTTTCGTACCTATGCCGAGAAGGGTTGCTTCTGTGTATCAAAGTACGCGATTAATGAATAACGCATGCTGGTGGTGTTTATCTGACGGTTACTACATCTTCCATCGCGACCCTCGAAGAAGCACGGTTTTAATACTGCAACGCTTGGCTGTTTCCGCATGCGACTTAGCCAAGCACTCGAAAAACACCCCTCTTAAATACCGCACTCGTTACAGAGTTACAGTTTGTTCTGCATTGGAGGACGCAACGTTCCCTTGGCTGAGTCAGATCTCACACTAACGAACTCCAAAGTGTGGGAACGCAAGTTCGAGCCTTGCAGGGAGCATGAATTTATCTCCATCCTGATTTTTCGCCTTCAAGTCCTGGGTTGGAACATTCTGAATGTGGGGGTGAGCTGTAATTTGAAAGTAGCAATTTCATTGAAATCAGACAAAAATGAGAGAGCACGAACCAGTACAAATGATTGCTAGGAGATAAAGATATCAAATCCATGGGTGCCTTACAGTCTCCGCCTCCGCCGTCCCCAGCTATTATCTATCCCCGGTGAATGCATCAGGAGGAACATGACCGGTGCCCTGAGTTGAGTGGGGGGAGCTGTACTTGCACGTTTGTGAATAGGGGAGAGTCGATAGAACGATGCCTTTCCATATGTTTTGATGCTTAGACCTGATACCCGAAAGGCAAATCATGCATGCGGGAGAGGCTTTCTCTGCTGTTAGGTCAAGACTAGATTTTGTAATCACCACGGTTTCCATCAGTTGGGATAAGATAATTGTTACCAGTATGAAGTATCCGAGTTGTTCTACGTCGGTGATCTGTTCGTGATCAAAGTTGTACTTGGGAACATAAGGCAGTACCGTTGGCGCAGTGGTCACCCCATTAGGGTGAAAGCAAGCGATCCGGGTTCGATCCCGGAACGGTTTATAAGAATTCCCAAAGAAATCGTTTTTCAATACTTTGAAACGCAGCAGCTTCTTTTAGTAATTGTTAACCTGACGATTCCCTCTTTCCGAGAGGACCAGCTTCTCGTTCTAGGTTCCCAAACGCGTGTGATTGAATAACGCATGATAACGTTCATGAGCAATGCTCCCTTGGCAGAGTCAGATCCCGCACCAACAAACTTCTAGGTGTGAGAACGCAAGTTCGAACCTTGCAGGGACCTTGTGTCTCAACTTGTAGTTTTTGCCTACAATTTTTGGCTCTGTCAATGAGTAGGAAGGTCCAATGAAACATTCTGAACGTGGGGTGAGTTGTGAAGTAGCGGTTCGGATTGGGAACTCCCATTCGATAGGGAAAAGACGAGTCACTGAGGTCGAGAGAGCATGGATTTCTATACAAACGATTGATAGTAGATAAAGATGCGTTGATACACCATAGTCTTTCGTGATATCAAAACGATTGTTATGGTCGAGAAACACGTGAACGTTATCTCTTCCTTGTCACCTTTGGAATCGCCACCGGGAGAGTGTCGATACCTAACAGAATGGACTGCGAGATCTTCGTTATCCCTTGCGTAGATTCAGGTCTTCACCACCCACTAGATTCCGATCAGGAACACATGTACGATATCCTCACACTTCCGTGTATGAGGAAAAGTCGACCTCTTACTGCTGCGTCCAACACCAATTAATGCCGGTTCTCCTCTATCATGCGGGATTACTTCAAGACAACGACAAACTCTCCTATTCTGCGCTCATCTTGAATGCCTTCGACGTTGTAGGCTTTGTACAAGTCTATGTCGGTTTTGAAAGAATGATGATGCCAATCGAATCCATCGACTTCCCTGATGCCTCATTTCTTCGATCTCGTCGACGGTGCCTTTCAACGTCATCACAGGGGTATTCGCTCAATCACTGCTCTTGCAAAGAATCGACCAACAGTGATCTATTCATATCATCTGCATACTGGTTCTTTTCACCTTATCACTGTTCTATCACCGCTTCCTCTCACCTTCCCGTTACGAACGTCCCTATTGATACAGTTGCCAAGACTTGAAAGTGCCAAGATAGCGAGTCAAAATTAACAGAACAGCTGGAAAGATTAACAGCGCCCAAATCGGAAGAGTTGACCACATGCGTATCATTCGTTAACGTAAACTCTATGGTTATTGTTTGTTGTCGTAACATCTAGTTTTAGCACATTGAAGTAGAGATCTACGGTGATGCTCGTTCTGCTGTCAACACCATTCCAGTCAGCTCTACCGCTTTTGGGCAGCACCGGCGATCTACTATTACTCTGGGACAATAGTATATTTGGATTCGTGGATGGGATAGTCGATAGTGTCATGCCTAGTGACTGGGATCACGTGTAAGTCTTCCATACATCTATCGATGGTGTTTACTATTTAGCGTACAATCGGTTCGGTGCCGTCCGAACAATTAACGAACACGAGTCTCCCAGTGTCTTGGCTCTTACAAACATAGTTATCTGTCAGGAATGTTTGATGGGCGTCAACATCAGTAAGGTTACATCAGATGGCATTTCGGCACGGGAGCGGCATGCCGACGGCATTTTGGGCCAAAATGCCGAATGCTAGAGGCTAGACCCGGTTTTCCGAAATGCCGCGACCGTTTATCCTCATGGCACACCGGCCAAAAATGCCAAAATGCCGAAATGGTACATGCTAGGCCATAGTACACAGGTTCTACGGGTAGACAGAGGGATATGATTGGTATCCAGGGCAAATATTATACATCCAGTATTAATTACGACCATTCTGCGTAAATATCAAGGCTGTTGAGATACAGTGTAGGTGGCGCTCGTAGGAATCCAAGAAAGGGAAGCCGAAAATAACAGCAGATATTAAAAAAACCAAGAAAAAGGTATCAAATTGGTATCGCAAGGTAAGGGAATGAATATATCTGTTCACTGTCCTTTGACAGGACTTGCCGGCACATATAGCTGGCGTCGACCAGGGCCCAATGATGTTTCGGCAACGGGAGTGGCAGGCTGAATTTTGTACTCGTAGAGTTCCCGAAGATGGCTCCATCGCCGCTCGCTGAAACCACGAAGGTACTCGGCGTATCCATCGATG